GGCCATTGGCCAAAAAGTACTGGAGCAGTGGTGAGAAACTGCTAGATGTATGCTAGCTCCAGTTTGTTATTTATGTGTTTGCATTTGTCATCAAATTCTGCCACTGCACATATCACCTTCCCACTATTCTCAGAGGAGGAAGTATGCTTCTTTCTGTTGCTAATTCTTCCTCCACCCATGCTACAATTTTATCCTGTTTCACCTCCTCAGGGACTCTGCTACATCACTTCTACCCTCTTTTGTTCTTGTAATTACCTCTTTTCACCCTTTACCCAAAGCTGAAATTTGTATTGTTCTTTTTCTATTTTCAGTAAAGCTTTTTAAAAAGGATAGATTCCTCTTACTGCCTTCTACTTCCTCACCTCCTACTCACTTCTCTGTCTACTGGAATTTGGCTTCTTCTCTCCTCATTTGATGGAAATGCCTTTTTTTTTTTTTTTTTTTTTGAGGGTCAAAGTGATTGTCTTGTGGCAAAATCCAATTGTAAATTTTCAGCCCCTATATTACTTAACCTCTTCATGATAATTGATAGTACAGAGATGAAAAGCGATATTGCATGTAAGTGCTCAGTAATGTCATCTATTATTACTAAGATTATTACTGCCCACTTGCTAACTTCTTGAGACCTATTGAGGCCCCCTGCAAAGAATTTCTGGCTGTTTGCTTGCTTTTCTCCTCTTCTTCTGGTTTTTCTTACTTCATTCCGTTTATTAGACCTCATGTTTTTGCTCACTCTTTAAATGTCTGTGTTCCTACAGAGCTCTATTTCCTTCTTCTCTGACTCTACACATGCTCCCAGAGAGATTCTTTTTACTTCTATAACTTCAGAAATTGATTTCTCCAGTCCAGAGTTATTTGTTGAATTACATCTTTGATTTCTGATTATTTGATGAACATCCCAATCAGGAGGTTCTAAAAGGCTACCGAACTCAACATATGCAATGTGGAATTTATTTTCTTTTTTATGCTCTCTACCCCTCTATACATCTTCTCTAGTATTTTAATGACACCACCACCTCCTTACTAGCCCAAGCCAGAAACCTGCATAAAATCCTGTTTCTTTCCCACTGGCACACCAGCCACCCCTCCAACTGTGTCCAGTTATCTACTATAGCCCATAGATTATAATATCTGAATATGTCTCCAATCTGTTTCCTCCTATGCAACCCACAGATATTACTGGAGTTTGTGGTCTCATTATATCTTGCTGGGAAGCTTGCCCCAGCATCGTACTCGCCCCCTGTCTCCAGTCTTGTCTACTTCCAGTTTATTGTCTGATGCCAAAGATGTATTCAAAAACATAATTCTATATATAATATGACCATGTTTGAAATATTTTTATTGATCTTAATCACCCACATAAATAGAGAAGCCCTAGACTTATAAGAATCTTGATGATCTAGACAGGTTCAGCTTTGAAGCCCTATAAATCACCCCACTCCAAATATATCACAGCCATACAGACTGCTTAGCGGCATGCCCTGTTTTTGTTTCCATGACTTCCTGCTTTACACATTCCTCATCCCCACTCCCCCAGAGGAAGAATTAGGATTCCTGTACTGTGGTAAACATCTATCCTTTATCCCCACTCTATATCGTATTTAGAATAACTTGTTTATATGTTTGTCTTTTTTAGTAGCCTGTGAAGTCCTTAGAATTGAATATATTATTCCTCTTTAAAACCCCAGGGTTTATCAAAGTGCTTTAGTTCCCTCCAGACTATGGGTTTAGTAATTTCTATCCAATTCCTGTCTGTTATCTTTTAAAGACTGATTCACAGAAGTACTTCAGTGATTATGAAGAACAGAATAAATATGCAAAGACAAGAGTTTGGTTTCCAATATGAGAAAATTATGATCTGCTGGGAACTGTCAGAGGCCAAGGGTTCAAGTCCTAAATTGTGCTGGATTCTCTTTCTGTGAGTTTGAGCAAGTTACTTGAAACCCTCTGTCCTTAAATTGGCTCATCTTTAAAGGTATGTTAATAACTCCTGTTTTACCATCCTATTGTACAGATTACATGAGATAATATATGGCAAAACCCAACTTTGTAAATTGGAAAATGCTAAATAAATGCAAGATTTTATGATCACTACACATAAGTAGCTTATCAGATGTTGAAAACACAACTGCTCTGTCATTTGACATGACTTCAATGGCAAGAAACAAAACCAGAAAAACAGCTGCTTAGACAAATAGAGGCATGTTTTTTTTCATTGACTAGAAATATGGAGGTAAGTTGTTGGTCCCCTGGCTCATTGTGCTATCAGGACCTGAGGATCTGCTTCTAGTTTTACTCCATTATCTTTTTCTTCTTGGCTTTGTCTTTACACTTGTTACCTCAAACTTGGCTGCAACAGTTACAAACATACATCTGCATCCAAGGTAGAAAGAAAGGAGATAAAGGGAGAAATGCCAGCTTACTTGTTCTTTTTATTAGGAAAGCACATGTGTTTCCAGAAGCTCCCATCAGACTTCTGCTCCCTTCTCATTGCCTGAAACTCACATGACCATTGTGAGCTGTATGGGGAACTGGATATGTGTTTAGCTTTCTCAGCCTGTATATGAAGGAGGGCAAAAAACAAGGGGCTGGCTGGAGGATGGATGTTGGGTTTGCCAGCTAACAGTGTTTGCCACATGTATCTTCCTGAAAATTCTGTTTTCAATCAGTTGATGAACAATAAAGCATAGCATTGTGTTCTCAAAGCTGCTTTCAGTGGGCATGGATTAATCATTAAGACTGATTAAGAGTCAGCATGTCTTTTCAGATGTCTGGTCTTTCCATCAAATATCAATACATTTTAAAATAAAGATCATGGAGTTCTGTCTTTAAGGAAGAGAAATTCACCCAAGGTTTATGCTCTGACCTCAGAAAAATGCACCCATTATACATTGGAGAGTAAATTAAGAGAAGAGACTCCCTGAGAATTGCTTTCCAGTACAATTTTCAGTACCATACAGTGTAGAAAGGCAAGCAAGAAAGGACTGAAGATGAGCGAAGATATATAAACAGGAAAGAGATGCCAGAAGAAAGCAAAAAATGAAATGAACAAACAAAATTAAAAGAATTTTATTCCACTTTCTACTCAAGTCCCCACATAGCATTTAATTTATAAAGAGCAACACAATTTCCCTCCCTATTCCCACCTCCTAGCTGGAATAACTGTAGGGAAACCCAGGAATTATTTAGGCTTGCTAGCAAGTTCACTGGGGTTATTTTCATTTTCTAGTTCTGGTATCATTACAAGCAGCTTCTTTCTTTTCATTAGTTATGTCACATAGAAATAGAGGGCACCTCAAACCATATGTTGATTGAAAGCATAGAAAGCCATGAATCTGTCTAAGGATCAGTTTGATCAAGGAGTATACCTTGTGCTGTGTCAGTTCTGCTGGGCTACACAGCGCTCTAGAGTAGAATAGCTCTGCAGCCCCAGCAGATGGCTACTTTCTGTTTTTAGAAGAGCCGACTTGGGATGCCTTATGCTTTTTATCTTGTTGAAAGGCGTTCTAAAAACTCGGAGCCTATCAATTGCTCTTCATCTTTTCCATTCAAGCTAGAGCAAAAAATGCATTAAAATTAATTTATTTTTTTAAAATGATAGGAATGGAATGTATAATGTCCTTCACAGAAATGTAGGAATTAATTTTAGCCATAAACCTGAGACCAGACTGCAAAATCACGATGAACTATTATAACCATCTGCACCTACCATTATGTGAAAAATTGCCTAGTCAAAGCAGTCTATTATGGGCTTCCTTCTAGGTCTTCACATCCCCTTCCTTCCTTCCTTTCTTCCTTTCTTCCTTTCTCCCTCCCTCCCTCCCTCCCTCCCTTCCTTCCTTCCTTCCTTCCTTCCTTCCTTCCCTCCTTCCTTCCTTCCTTCCTCCCTCCTTCCTTTCTCTCTCTTTCTTTCTTTCTTTCTTTCTTTCTTTCTTTCTTTCTTTCTTTCTTTCTTTCTTTCTTCTTTCTTTCTTTCTTCTCTCTCTCTCTCTCTCTCTCTCTCTCTCTCTCTCTTTCTTTCTTTCTTTCTTTTTTTCTCTCCTCCCTATAGTCCTTAGCTTAGGCCACAAAGGAGGTCAGATAGGTGACTTTATAATGTACCTAAATCATTCCACAGGCTTTTATTTTAAGATCTGAAAACACTTTTATCTGCAGTGCTAACATTGCAATGGCCAGTTCTTTTGTGAAGGACATGATTACATCTAGTCTCCTCTTTTTTTTTTTCCATATACATCACCTAGTGACATTTTCATGGTTAAAACTAAGACACCAGTTACTTAAATTGAAAATGTTTCAATTATGTTGAAAATGCATTTTTAGTTGAAGACAAGAATTTGATTTATTTGCTATCTGAATTCATACATTTTCATTGGTCAACAAGGCTTCAAATAGCTTTGAGTTGTCATCTTCAAATATCATAATTGCCATGCTCCTAAGTTGCACACAAGTGAAGGAAGTTGGCTAATGTGTTGAGATATGCAGACAGTCGGATAATTTTTTTCTTTAAAGTAAATTTAAAATTATATTTTTTCTTATGACTCCCTTGCAAAAGGTAGTGTTGAAAATATATAAAGAGAATGAATTCTAAAGGAGTGGATAGACCCTTAAGTTGGGAGAGCTAGAAAAGACACTCGGAGTTTAATTTTTCATGTTTAATCCTTCCCCCACTGCTAGTCTTTACTCCCCCACATTTTTCTTTAAGTAAGAACATAAGGGAAAAGACCTGCCTCCATGATTCAGTTACCCTCCCACCAGGCCCCTCCCATGACACATGGGATTATTATAATTTAAGGTGAGATTTGGATGGGGACACAACCAAACCATATCACCACTTAAAAAAAAACTTACTGGTTTGTCTAGCTTTGGTTCTGAACTTCTATGCTGGTGTCCTGATTCAGATGCTGGTTCCTCTAGGGAAGCCCAGGACACTTTGCTGAGACACTGAAATCTCACCAAGTGCTTGACATACATCTGTTTTAGAGATAAACACTGTTACTTACAGCCTGTGATGCTGACTGCACTCCTGTTCCATGTGGATGTTTCATTTGTAACCGGAATGCTTCCACTGTCTGGACTTGCTGTTTCCTGCCGTAGGAGAGCACAGGATCAGAAAAAGCTCAACCTCACCACATCCTTCTGAATATCATGATTATACTGTGAGTTACTTCCACGAAGAGCTTATCTTCCATTTAGTTAATTTATCCACCTAGATTTTATTCCAATCCAGCTTATTTTCTGTCTCTCACTGATGAGCTTCCATAGGTTCTTATACCAAGTTGTCTTGAGCTAAGAATTCTCTAGAAGATGTGCAGGTAAAAGAAAAGATGAATGTAGCTATCATTGTCAAAGCTAATCTGTGCAGGACATTAATATTGTCATATGACCTCCATTTCTTTTGAGCTACAACTCTTTGAAACTCTCTGTGTAAAGCCACAGCTAAGCTCCCAAAGACTTACTGTGGAGTTTCAGTACTACAACTCTTTCTTTCCTAGGAGATTTGGTGGAGCAGGGAATCATTTAAGTAATGCAAAGTCATTGCATTATTTGGAAATCTGCCCTTCTGTCTGATGTTGACCCATGTTTCTTGGACAAAGTTGAGGCACCCTTAACTTTCAACTTTGTTACTCATTCCACTACACAAACAGCTTTGCTGATAGGCTTACAAATGTCTTAAGTAGCAGAAGATAAACTAATTAGAAGCTCCTTTAAGACAATTTAACAGAATAAAAAATAAAATCCAGGAGTTATGGCTCACACCTGTAATCCTAGCACTTTGGGAGGCCGAAGCAGATGGATCACCTGATGTCAGGAGTTCAAGATTAGCCTGGCCGACATGCTGAAACACCATCTCTACTAAAAAATGTAAAAATTAGCTAGGCATGGTGGCACACACCTGTAATCCCAGCTACTCAGGAGGCTGAGGCAGAAGAATCGCTTGAATCTGGGAGGCAGTGGTTACAGTGAGCTGAGATTTTGTCATTACACTGCAGCCTGGGCAACAAAGAGATACCCTGTTTCTAAAAAAAAAAAAAAAATCAGTTATAATTTTAGCCTTTATTTATGCAAATTATGACAAAACACGAAAGAGGTCTTGGGTACAATGTTTGGTTACTGAGGGGCTCTTGTGCGAGAATGAGTGGGACAAAGGGTCTTAGGTTGCTGTGTGCCAGTGCCTATATTTAATAAGTTCTCTAGAGGAAAAAACAATTGCTCTGGCCTCTGTGGAACATAAAAGCAGAAACTGATGGAGGTCCCTGAATGACAACCATGGACTGTAATTGTTAACTTCCACAGATCTACAGTTGCAATATTTCCTCAATAAGGGCTCCTGACTCATTTCAGATTATTTTTTATTATTTCAAAATCAGAAAATAAACTTGGTAGTCTAATATGTTTTTACAATTAGGTAAATACTAAGATTATATTATAGACCCAACATGGATAAAATGCATGCTTTTTATTGCCTTTCTAGGAGTCAGGATGGATTTCTATCCAAAAACTCTTACTATTGCCCTGAGTTCCCATTACGACTAATGACACGAATTGACAGGAGCCAGGAGTATCATCTGCAATTGTGAACCAGAAGAAATTTTATGGATTAAAGAACCAGAAGTGTACAAATGGGACCTAGATTACTGCAGAGCCATTTGTATTTCTTAAGATTCTCTTGGTCACATGCAACAGAAATAACCCTGAGAAACACAGGCACACTAAAAAATATATTATTGTAGTCACAATGTGGTATCTTACGTAAATGAGGGAAGAAATGAATAACTAAGCCTCATGAGGGAAAGGAATAAGGACAGCATAGACACCTCCTCAGGAGACGTTTTGGACCTTTTCAGGGGCAGGTAATAACACATCAGCTTTAATTGTTCCCAGTTTTCAAATATCCTTATTCCAAATTTCAAAATCCCATGGGGTCTTTCTGGGTCCAGCATCTATCCTTGGATTACACTTTCATGGTCAGTGGGGTAGGGTCACACAGAAAGGACGAGGCTTCCGGAGCATAATTCTGTGACCTACAGGTCCAGCTCAGAGAAGGAGTATTTGTTTAGAGCTAGGCAGCCACAACCAAAATTATCTGCTCTTCACCTCATATTCCAACATTAATTCTCACAATTAAAAAATTCCCAAGTACAGGCTGCATGGAAAATAAAAATGAACTACACACCACACACACACACACACACACACACACACACACACACACACACCCTGAGTATGAAAAAAAATAATTTGATGTTGGATTGGGTCTCTCTAGAATTTATATGCCAAAATCTTAACCTCCTGTACCTCAGGATGTGACCAGGTTCTGTGCAGAGGTAATCAATTTAAAATGAGTAATTTGGATTGGTCCCAATACAATATGACTGGTGTCCTTATTGGAAAGGGAAATTTGGAGATAGACAACAGACATAGCACACAGAGGAATGCTATGGGAAGATGAAGGCAGAGATCTAGCACTGTATTTATAAGCCAAGAACACTCAAGATTGTCAGCAAACTGCTAGATAGTAAATGAGAGACATGGAACAGATTCTTTTTCACAAAAGGAACCAACCCTCTAGACACCTTGATCTCAGATTTCTAGTAACTAGAACTGTAAGGCTACAAATTGTTTTTAAAACACTCACTTGGTAATACTTGTTACATCAGCCTTAGAAAACTAGTAGAATGTTATGATCAAAATGTGAAAGGGTATTGGTTACACATTTTAAAGTGACTTAATAAGAATATAAGATTTCAGAGAAAAAGACACTTTTATAAAATATTTTTATATTAAATTGTTGGATTACTTTTTCACTGACATTAACTTTCACTTTCTTTCCTGTAGTATGACATATGACTAATTAAATTCTTGGATGTAGCACGGACTAAAAAAGATTGGTTAAATAAGCTGTGAAGTAAATGGGCTAACAGTCACATATAGAGATGTGGCCTAATATTCTTGTGTTCTTAGGGAAATCTTCTGATGTTAAGAAATCCTTTCTCAATTTTGCAATAATTAGGATTTAAGCTAAACAGTCAGTGGAAAGTTATCAAGTAATAGATTTCATAGCATTTTTAGGTCAACAGTGGACTTTTTTCTTGGCAATTACTAACATTAGCTCAGCCATCTGTCCTTTTTACCAGTGAACCCATACATGTCAAAGATTCCAGCTGAGAAAAGCTTGACTGTTTCTTTTCTCCTGCAAAATATAATGATTCCCAGTAATTTATAAATGTTTGGCATAGCAAAAAATCATGCAGATATCACAATGAGTTGTGTTGAGGCTGCTAAACCTCAAATTTCCTGGCAAACATCTTAGTTCAAAAAAAATGTAGTTCTGCCACTTAAAAAAAAATAACTCCCACAGGTATTTGGTGAGAAGGATAATGACGAACTAAATTTAAAATCTTTGTAACTCAGTACCAGTGAGTTCCTGAGGCTATTCAGCATGTTACTGTAGAAAGATCTGTGATTATCTCTTTTATATATTTAATGTTTATCTCCCCAGTAGATTGTAAACTCCATGAGGACCAGAACTACATTTGTCCTGGTCAATATTATGTCCTATAAATCTAGCACAGTACAGGAATTTTAATTAATATTTGTTGAATAAAAGGATAATTAAGTATAAAAAAATCAGTGATTAATGAAAGGTCTGGGCAAAATATTACCAGTTTGATACAGAATTCAGACAACTTAGTACTTACAGAGATCTGTTTCTTTCTTTAATGATATTTAACCTAATACATATTTCCTGTGTATGTTCCCCAACCTAGATATGTCATATCTTTTCTTTTAAATCTTTAGCAGTTCTTCAAGTCCTATAATACTAAGTTCAAAATCTATAGCAGAACAATTCTCTTCACAGTCTAAAGTTACTCAACATGCCTAGCCTTCTTTCTTTCCATTTCCCCAGTCTTTACTACTTTCCCTTACCTTTCTCTCCCAACTTGTTCTTTACGATCTAGCCTCAGAGCTATACTCAAGCCCATATGCTCTGTGTACTTTCAGAGCTACATGATGGTGCTCCTGCATAGAATAGCTGCCTCTTGTGCCTCTCTCTGTTGAAATCCTATTAATCTTGCAAGCCCTGTCTCACTGACTTAGTGAAAACTTCCATAAATTTGCCTTTCTTTTTGTGCACATTCAACCACTTCCTCTTTAGTTCCCCCTCCAAAAAAAAAAAAAGCAAATAGTTTTGCCCTGATTGTCTGTATATTTCTACCACTTGAGAATCACTTCAGGAAATGCATTTGTCTCTCCATCCAAAGAACATAGCTCAATGTGTAGAACATAGTAGGTACTTTATTAAGGTCAAATGAATCCTTAATTTTTTTTCTCTCAGAATTCTCTTAGAATTCACCCTTTCAAAAAAATATGTTGATACCTGGCTAAACTCCTACATATATACTTAAACCCACCCTCCAGAAGTAGCTCGTGCATTTGGCCAGAGCAGACCTAATGTTTTACAGAAGAGTGCATGACTCAGACTATTGAATCTTCAAATCTACTTCTCAGCTAGTTTTAAACTAAAGAAATGTACTCCAAGTGGCTCAGAACAGCCTCATATAGATGGCACATCTCAATGCTGTGGGACTATTCAAATTTTACATTTCTTTCTTTCTTTCTATTTTTATAAAATAATCAAGCTAGTGAAATAATACAGCTTCTTGTTCCTATTATACCCTTAGTTTAATTGACTTGGATTCTCTAGAGTCAATTAAAACTGAATATGTTATTCCACCCAGTCATGGGAAATGAATGCAGTTCTCTATTTTCTTTGTAGTTTTATATAATCTTCTGTAGGGAAGTGCTTGAAGCATGTATATCTACAAACAGAGTCAGTTTTGAAAAGAATGTGGCTGAAGTTGAAAGGCGGGACTTTTCTGGATCAGTTGGGCAACTGCCTTGCTAGTGGCACTGGAAAGCTCCCAACTTGTTCCCAACAGGCTAGTTGGGAATGAACTCAGCAAACTCTTTTGGAATCATGGAGCCTCCACCCCTGGATCTGGTAGGTGCCAGAGAGGTGCACAATCAATGAAAAGCATACAGATGGCGAGCCAAATTTATCTCGCATCTCATAGCCAAGTTTTTGTGTAGATTGCATGGTTTGAAGTTATTGATCAGAGACAATATCTTCTATACCTTTAATAAACTCTTAATTGGAAAAATCCTATTTTAGGAACATCCTAACATAAGCAAGGTTGTTATAGGAGAGTGGGAAAAATTCAACAGTATGGCAAGCTATTAGAGCAACAGAACTATTTATTTCTTTGGTGAAACAAGTCCTTCCTCACTGAGCATCCGGGGCAACACAACACAATTTCTGGTTCTGACAAATAGCATGTTTATAATTTGTAGGAAAAATTTTATATTTTCTTGTCAAATATTAGTTAATGCTTAAATTACAATTAGAATATTTAGCATTCATATGTTGCAATGAAGTTTATCAAAATGTTTTCCTCTACATTATGTTTTTACATTCTCGTTGATCCCATGATTTGGATGGCATTTAGTG